TGATCCTGGACGATGTTGGGACATTGTCGACAAATACAAGGTGACCATATTCTACACTGCCCCTACATTGGTGCGCTCTCTCATGCGTGATGGTGATGAGGTAAGGTTCTTTCTTAAATCTTGTTTATTATGGGTTCATATTGTTTATAAGAAATTTTTGTGAATAAAAAGAGCTCTTTGTTACAATTTTGCTTCTTTTATGTTGATATTTGACACTCACCTTCATAATTTCCACGGCCCCAAGATACTTTTTGTCTGTGATTTCTCATTGAATATTGCTGGCTAAAAATTAGAGGGAATAATAAAGAAAGGGTCTCCAACGAATTTTTTTAAGCATTCAGTCATTTTGTTTGATTTTGGCATGAAGATTTACTTGTTTGGATGATTTATGAGACTATTCTTTGCCCTGCAAAAATAAAATTTTCTGGTCTTTTGTGTTTGGAAAATCAATGGAGTTCCTCTTGATGTATTTCTAAATTTTTATTGATATCACTATTACTGACTTTGCAGTATGTCACTCGCTACTCACGGAGGTCCCTGCGCGTCCTTGGAAGCATTGGCGAGCCTATTAATCAACGGCTTGGAGGTTCTCAACTACATAATTTCTTTCTTTTTTTGTCTCCTATCTCGTTTTATATGTAAAAAACTGTTTTTGGTCTAAAATGATCCTGTAACTGTAGGTGGTTTTTTAATGTAGTTGGAGGGTCGAGGTGCCCTATTTCTGACACTTGGTGGCAAACAGAAACAGGTGGCTTTATGGTAAGTTCTTTTTTTCTTTTTTGTTACATATTTTGGTAGCATCTCCTCGTGTAAATATTATCAGAACTTTTTTTCACTGGGAAATTTGGTTGAATTTTCTCTGCTGTACATGCTATTTTATATTTTAATTATTGTTTTCTTTGTCTTGAATGGCAGATTACTCCTCTACCAGGGGCCTGGCCACAGAAGCCTGGTTCTGCAACCTTTCCTTTCTTTGGAGTTCAGGTTTAATACACTGCTGTTATAGAAAATTAGCATCCCCCCTTCCATTAATCTCTTCTTATCGTATAACTGCAGCCTGTCATAGTGGATGAGAAAGGAGTTGAGCTTGATGGTGAGTGCAGTGGTTACTTGTGTGTGAAAAACTCATGGCCCGGTGCATTTCGAACTCTTTATGGTGACCATGAGAGATACGAGACAACATACTTTAAGCCATTCCCTGGATATTATTTTACTGGTGATGGCTGCCGCAGGTACGTTGGTATACACTGAAATTCCTGTTTCTTTGGTTTGCACTTTTATCAGCATACGAGTACGACATTTGATTCTAAGCCACCCGTAGTTTTATCCACTGATCGCATCCTAACTGCTTGAGTGGTACATTACTGTTATCTTTGTTTCAGGGACAAGGATGGTTACCACTGGCTTACGGGAAGAGTCGATGATGTTATTAATGTTAGGTATGTTATCTGGAAACTAGCCAGCCTGTTGAAGGTTCCATACCTGTTTCTTTCCAACTGCCTGTCAGCGATAGTATCTTAACATTTGCAGCGGACATCGTATTGGCACAGCGGAGGTGGAATCTGCTCTAGTTTCTCATCCTCATTGTGCAGAAGCTGCTGTGGTTGGTGTCGAACACGAGGTATGCAACGGGCTTGATGCATTATATATCAAGTAGCCAAGAGACATGCTTGTGGTCAGTAATCTTAAGGTTTCATTTTCTGTTGGCCTTAGGTTAAAGGACAGAGCATATATGCCTTTGTAACTCCTGTGGAAGGCATTTCTTACAGCGACGAACTCCGAAAGAGCCTTATACTCACTGTGCGAAAACAGGTTAGAATTTATTCCCATTGGTTGTGGCATTTAGTGTGTGGTCTTTGAGAAAGAAACAATTAGGAATTTAGATATATGCTATGATCTCAACTGTCCCTTAACACTGAATCGTCGAAATGAAAATTTAGACTATTGCTGTAACTAGCGGTATCCTTACATCCCGGTTAGATAAATATTGGTTGGTTGAAAGGTGTTCGATGTAGTGGTAACAAGAAGAAATCGATGTGGGTGACTTGCAGATAGGAGCATTTGCAGCACCTGACAAAATACACTGGGCACCTGGCCTCCCGAAAACAAGGAGTGGGAAGATAATGCGGAGGATTCTGAGGAAAATCGCGTCCAGGCAGTTGGATGAACTCGGAGACACGAGCACACTGGCTGATCCCGGTGTTGTTGATCAGCTTATTAAACTTGCGGATGTCTGAAACTATAACCGTACGTTCCTTGCCTGACAAGGAATCGTTCCCATTCGGACTATGAGTCCATTTTCTTTCTGGCCCTTCGTCTAGTTTGATTTGAAGTACTTGCTTTCATTTTTGCCCTATATTGGAGGTTGCCTCATCCATATGACTTTACACCCAATATTTCTTCGTAATCCTATGTACATCTGTACTATTCAAGAAAATAATAGTGATAGAATAAAAATAAAGAAGAAGAATTCATAAATGTATATTTGTACTATTTAAAAATAAATAAATGTAAACTTTAGGCTGATTTTTAACGGGTATTTTTTAACTATTATTATGACTTAAATATTTAAAGTGATAACGTTTGTAACGTTAAACACTTAAATGAGAAAAGAGATATAATTTATATATTTTTTTTCTACGCCTAATTTATAGTTTATTTAAGTGCTCTGATTACTCTTTGCTTATGTTGTAATTTGTATATATATATGTTTACGAATATTATGAAGTATAATAGAGTAGACGTGTATTACTGAACTTTGTAAAATTTAGTAAAATTTAGTATTCAAAATTATTTTTATGTGGATGGGTTGTTAGTTAATGAATTTAACTCAAGACAATGGCATTATCGGATAAGTTCTAACAATATTTTATCAGAGTAAAATACTGTCACTTTTAGTGGGTGTATGCATTTGTTGAAACCTTGTGTAGTTTTGTCCTGTAACTTATTATAAATATTTATCATTTTATACACTATTTTAATATTAAAACTCTAATTTTTGTATTAATAGTTTTTAACTCAAATGCTTATGGTTTTAACCTACTTTGAGTTATAAAATTACTGAGTTATACACCAAAATTTAATGACTTGTGTATGAAAAAAATTAATTCTAAATGTTGGGCTTTATTAAGCTCAATAATGTCTCATTATTAAACCCATCAAGTAACATTGATGATAAAAGAGAACGTTGTTCTTCCTAAAGATCTTAGGTTCGAACAGTTGCGTAAGCAAAATATATATACATTATCAGTAGATTAAGAAAATTCTAAATCAAACATTACCTTATAATCGCGTTCCAAACAATTAGGAAAAAATAATGCTTAATTACTCAGCTATATTACATGAGACATATAAATGCAAGTAGGTAACGCATAATAAATACTTTTCGATCGTCACACATGATCGTTAGTATGCCAATATCCATAAGGTCCCATAAAAAAAAACACTTCCATTAAGGCCAAAGGACCATAACAACACCACTAAGATTTATCAAGTAATCACACATTAATAATTCTTTGATTATCACAAAATCATAAAAAAATGTTAAACTCGAATTCATAAATTATAAGGATATTTTAATTTGTCTTCAAAGATTCGAAACCTCATTCCAATCCTATAGGATCATCATAGAAGGTTTGGGTACCTCAAGAGGATAACTTAGGTTAAAGAGTCTCAAAACAATAAAAAACAACTGTAGTTTCAAAATTGTTCCTCGGCTAAGAATATCACCCTTAAGAATATCAAAATTTTATGTGTAAAATTATTTTTAAAAATATGGGTAAAGATTTCTAATGTCAAAATAATAATAAAAAATTAAGAGAATTACTTGTATACTTGACTTTTAATTTACTTCTATATAAATAAACAAATAAAATAATGTAAACGTATTCAATAATACATCATCTTGAAGAAAATGGAAAAAAAAGGATATGCTTCTTCTTTTAACCGAGCGATCTCGGTGGTAGAGAAATTGTTGTTGTTCCTTGAGATCTCGAATTCGAAATCCATGAATACTGGGGGTGTGAACATTTAATGTCAAATGATTGAGAGTTATCTTTGAACATATACTGCCTTGTGCATACCCCATATTAATAAAAAAGAACGTTGCTTTTCTTTATATATTATCCTTTGCATAGGTTCTAATCAAGAGCAAGAGATGTAAGAGTTCAATGCCAAATGTTGAAAATTATCTTTAAATATATATTGTCTTATACTTACCCAATAATAAAAAAAATGTTTCATAGATACTTAACCTTAATCTTATGATAATAAATAAATATAGGGCAAAGTACATAAATGGTCATCCGACTATAAAATATTATTACTTTGTTGAGTCCATCGACTATTAAAAGTTATAAAATGATCCTCCGACTATAAGATGTTGCTTTATTGAGTCACTCGACTATTAAAAGTTACAAAATAGTCATTCGACTATTAATAACCAGATAATCATTTAGTAACTTCTAATAGTGGGGGACTCAACGAAGTAACGTCCTATAATTGAGGGATCATTTTATAACTTTTAATAGTTGGAGAACTCAATAAAATAGCTTCATATAGTCAAGGGACCATTTGTGTATTTTACCTATAAATATAGTAATTAGTCCATAGTAAAACTCTTAGAAATAATTTAGTGACCCAATAGACTAGTAATGCTTATTATATAATATGGACAGTTCAAAAGTTTTCTTTAACAACACACATTTTACAAACATAATTTTTTTAACTTGAAATCTAAGATAACAATTTTTTTTACCATTAAAATCGTGCAGTTATTCTATTTACTCTGTAAATACCTTACTTTATATCTACACATATAATATGCTTACCTTTCCTTAATTGATAAATACAATAATATTCTGTTCTTCTTCGTAGAAAGGGTAAAAGCATGAAAAAACATGGGGAAGGTTTTAATCTAAAACGCCAACCAAAACACATATTTCATTAATATTTTGTTCTTTTAAGTTAAAATACCAACCAAAACCACACTTTCTCGAAGAATGGCGGTGGCAGATGCGGTCATCTCCTTCGCTGTGGAGAAAACTGGTGATCTGATCCTGCAACAAGCAAAGTACCTGAGCTCGGTGAGCGGTAAAGTCAAAGAACTGCAAGCTGAACTAACACGCATGCGTTGCTTCCTAAGAGACGCCGAGTCGAAACAGGGAGATTCAAGAAGCATACGCAATTGGGTTGCAGAAATCAGAGACATCGCCTACGATGCAGAAGACGTCCTCGAGATATATGCGCTGAAAGATGCATCCCGGAACGTGTTTTCTACATGCGGAATCCGACGGAGAGATCCGATCTCGGTGTACAAGGTTGGAGCAGCTATTGATGATATTGAAGCCAAGCTTACTAAGTTAACATCGAGGCTACCAGCTTATGGATTAAAGGAGTTAAATGACGGAGAACGAGCCCGAAGCTCTTCAGAGAAAAGTGTCATCCGTCGATCTTATTCTTACAAGATTGAACAAAATGTAGTCGGGTTGGAAGAAGATGCAAAATTACTGTTGACACAACTCGAACGTACTGATTGTAAAGTTGTGTCGATATGTGGCATGGCCGGTCTGGGAAAGACCACCCTTGCTAAGAAGGTTTACCATCAATGTAAAGTAGGACACTACTTTGGTTTCTTCATTTGGATATTCGTGTCTCAGCAATGGGGAAAAAGGAACATTTGGGAAAAATGTTTAAACGAGCTTCTGTCTCCTGAATGGTCTTCAAGAGATGAGGAGTTTGCAAAACAATGGAAAAGGATTCAAAGAATGGATGATGATGGTGTTGCCAAAATGCTTCACGGTGAACTACGAAAGAAGAAATGCCTAGTGGTGCTGGATGACATATGGGACAACGCCTGGAATGCTTTAAGTCCAGGGTTCCCAACAGAGGAGACAAGCAGCAAATTTATAATTACCACTCGCAATAGGAGCTTGGCTCAAGGGTTCATCCATGAACCGAGGTGTCTGAATGATTATGAGAGTTGGGAGCTATTTACAAAGACTGCAATACCCACACGAATTAGAAATTCCAAACCAGCAGGTAAACAATCTTTTCTCTCTCCTACAAACTGTTAAAACTTTGATGAGTTCTTCCTAGAAAGTACTCATTTGTAGTTTCTCTTAATATTCTTGGTTAATGGTGGTGTTTTGGGAAGTATTGATTCTTATTTGGATCATGTCCATGGTTATTCGATCCATGTGAATTCCCTTTTCCTCTCTAAACTGTTTAGAAATGTCTCCCCCACAAGCCACACCTCATTTGAAAGAGATATCTCGGGCACTACAAGAAGAATGGTATCAATCTTCTTAGTTTGCATAATCACCTTTCTTTTAGTCTTTACAGGGGGAGTTACCTCAACCTTTTAGAGGATATCAATAACAACTTCATATGGAGATTTCACTAAAGTCTGTAGCTCTACCTAAGAAGTAAATAACAATAGCTCGAAAAAAAAAATAACATACACAAAAGCATACCACTAGATGAGTCGTTAGACGAGGTTAAGTCAGAGGAGAAAAGCGACGAAGAAAAAGGGTCCCTTCCATAAAGTCTGTAGAAGTTTTCTTTCTCTCTTCCAAATTCATCTAACGATCCACTTAGAAAATAGTCGTCATCCAAAGAAACAACATGCAAAGGACTAACGTCTAAAGTCCTTAATAGGTTATCAGCTTCCTCCTTCTCCCTCTTCGACGACACATTAATGTAAGGATAAATATTAAAATTAGCAATGGTCCTACCATGCAACTACGTTGGAAGAGTAGCAGATGACTCTGACACATCTTGCAAAAGCATCCTACCCGCCTCACTGCCTTCACCTAAGACGAACCTCTGCACTACTTTCACCTCCGTCTATGATACCATCATCATCATTAAGCCCAAAATCACTAGTAGACCCCTTCAATGATCACCTGTCTGACCACAACCTACGAGGGCAGTTGCAAAAGAAAAGCAATGAATATTCCTCCTTCACCATCTTCCCCAACAAAACCTTCTCCAGATCTTTTGTGCCCTATAGTGCCACAAACTCCTACATTAATCTCAAGCACCCAAATGCCGAACTCATTCAATCGTAACAACTCTGGTCTTGAACCCATTAGGGCTATCTCCTTCAAAGCATATCTTGAAAACGTTATGAACAAAAATCTTCTCCGAAACAACTAGCTACCCACCTTTTTCAATAAAGCAAATTACTCCTCCTCCCCTTCTAATCGAGGAATAGTAGTCCTCATCTTCCGGCCAGATGTGCTCTACTGTAGAGGAAAACGAAAACCTTAGGCCTTAGGGTAATTTGTGGGTCATCTTAATAAATTTGGAATGATCCGATCCCAATTTCTATTGACTGCTCCAACCTACAATTGGCTCGTTTATCTCAAGCCCTTTTGCACGCCTTCATATAAAACTCAGAAGGCCTCCACAGGTCCTTTGAGCCACTTCAGTAAGAGTAAAAAGACTATAATATAGCCATTGATAATACTCCCTCCCTCCACCGACAGAAGATAAGATAGCAAATAAGGATCCATCAAGAAACTTTGATTAACTAACCAAAAGCCACCCCATAAGTGTTTGATACTTCCTTCACAAAATTGTGTGCTAAGAGACGGAACACAACTTTCAAAATGAGCAAAGACAAATAGAGCCACTCTCATACCCGACTGAGACCTCGCTACAGTCACTCAGGCAACACGACCCTAAAAGAATTTCAAACTCAAATTCAAAGTTTTCTCATCACAATCTGTGACTCAACAGCATATTTCTAGCCTCATTCTGACCAGTCTTGTATGCGAAAGAACCACCGACCACCAGGGAAAATCGATCCACCTCTATCTTTCTTCAAATTCTTCACTCCCCTCATGACACTCTTCTTCATCATGACAAGAAAAAATTTTGAAGAAAAAAGAAGAAAACTTTGCAGAAATTCCATAAAAGATAATACGATAGTCTAAAAATCAAATCCAAAAAATGGAATTAGGAGTTTCGCCCTAACTCCCCATTAAATAGCTAAAGAATTGACATTTCTTCCTAATGATTGCAATTCGCACCTCTAATCTATGCCTTTAATGGAGTAACACGCATGTGAGATCCAACCGTTGAGAAATAATCATTGCTATGGCTTCTGATAAATGACCCATTAATGCGATAAATACATTCTCACATAAGTCTCAGTGGCTCCTGATAAACGACCCATTAATGCGATAAATACATTCTCACCACAAATGTTCCTTTCTTGTCTTCATCATTTGCAAATTGAATCAACCACTGATATATTTTCTTCTCCTCCTTCAGCTCACAAAATTGATGAGCGCATGGAAATTATGGGGAAGGAAATGGTGACACATTGTGGGGGACTGCCCTTGGCCATCGTTGTTCTTGGAGGGATTCTCAAACATAAAGAAACTATTGTTGAATGGGAGACGATACGTCAATGTATCAAGCATTATTTAAAGGGAGAAATGATATTTCAGCTATTAGCTTTGAGCTATGATGATTTACCCTATGAGCTGAAACCCTGCTTCCTTTATTTAGGCATGTTTCCAGAGGATTTTCAGATATCCGGAGATAGACTAATCAATTTATGGGTGGCCGAAGGAATGATACATCCACCAAGAGTGGAGAGACAAGGAGAGGAAGCATTGGAGGATATTGGATATCGTTACCTGACAGAGTTGGCAGAGAGGTACATGATTGTTGTTGCGGAAAGAGATTCCATTGGAAGAATCAAAAAGTGACAAATGCACGATCTTATGAGGGAGTTTTGTTTGTCCAAGTCGGAAGAGGAGAATTTCTGTCAAGTTGTGCCACTCTATGGCGCACAAGCCAAGAGTCTGAATATTTCTTCTTCTTCGGTCATGGTAACAGGTAGAACTCGTCGACTGTCATTGCATTTAAATAGGTTTCCTGGAGACGTTGCCTTGGAATGTGAAGAATATCCCCCAGTCAAATCCTTGTTATGCTTCTCGTTGGATAAAACCAGTGGCCTAAGCAAGAGGCTCGCTGCAACATTGGTCCACAGCTTCAAGTTGCTTAGAATCCTAGATCTTCCAACTCCAAGTTTTGATGTTAAGGTACCCAAGAAAACAAAAAGGTTAATCGATAAAACAATCCGGTTAACTCCTCGTACAACAATGCACAAAGTTTTTTTTTATAGTAAAACTCAAAGAAAAAAAGTGCCCAAAAAACTAGGAAAGTTGATTCACCTCAGACTCCTGGATTTTGGAACTGGTCATCGGATGGAAAAACTTCCCTCCTCAATAGGCAACTTGAGTTGCTTGTTGACCTTAAGGATAGATTTTACCGAAGTAGTTACCCTACCGAATGTTTTTTGGAAGTTGAAAAGATTGAGGCACCTATATCTTCCTCGTCGGATCGAAAAGACAACAAAAAGGCTACAGTTTGCGGATCTTACCGAGCTAAGAATGCTGGTAAATTTTCCAGCATATTGTGCTGACATAAAGGACCTGACCACACTGACCAATCTTAGGAGATTGGAGATTGTAGCATATGATAATGACTCGCTCCACAGTCTCCGGATGATGTTCATGTCCCCGATCATCGCATTCGGCAACCTCCGTGATCTTTCCTTTTCAACTTTTGTCGGATCCTTGGATCCTCATATTGTTCGCAACATGAGGGACGACATTATATCATCTTGTCCTCGTCTTCTGCTGCTGAAAAGTTATAAGAATGTAGTTTACCAGAAGACGGCTGACATCTTCAGCCACGAGGAAGAGGAAGACGAGAAAGAGGAAGAGGAAGAGGAAGTGGAAGAGGAAGACCAGCTACCATGAGAAGCCCGACTCAGAGGCAGTTTCTAATAAAGTTTGTGTCAATGTCAGTGTGTAATATATATATATATATATATATATATATAGCCTATATAGGCAAAATCTCGTTGATAGTGCGTTGAATTTTTTTTTTTCACGAAATAGTGGGATCGCCAGATTAATTGCTCAAGTGGTGCCCTCTACAGTACCGGGGGTAGGTCGCCATGCACGCCCGGCGACCTACCAGGTCGCCATGCACGCCCAGCGACCTGGTAGGTCGCCATGCATGCCCTGCGACCTACCAGCCAACGACCTCCATGCCCATGCACGCCCATGCACGCCCATCTCGCCAAAGGAGCACGCCCATGCACGCCCATCCATGCCCTGCTGCATGCTCGCCTGCTCGCGACCTTGCCGGGACTCCATGGCGACCTACACATGCACGATCTCCCCATTCTTCCCATGCATGAACCGATCCTTGGTCGCCCCGAGTGTCCCATGCATGAATCGTTCCTTGGTCATCCTTGGTCGCCTCGAGTGCCCCATGCATGAACCGAGCCCCGAGTGCATGGCACGATCTCCCCATGCATGAATCCTTGGTCGCCCCGAGTGCATGGCGACCTCCTTGGTCGCCGGGCGTGCATGGCGACCTAGGAGGTCGCTGGGAGTGCATGGCGACCTATGGTTGGGTTGTGCATGGCAAGCCACGTCGTAGGTCGCCCGGAAGGCATGGCGACCTACGGCCACACTGTTGATTTCGCCCTATTTCAGCAAATAATGTTGGGATAACGTTATTTCGTGAATTATTTATTTTGAGTGCATTATATCGTGAGTTTAGCCTATATATATATATATATATATATATATAATTGATGTTGCAAATAAAACCTCCTGTACAGATGCTTGCTTCGGCAATCGTGCTGTTTTATGCTTCCATCATAATAAGATAACTGTTCTACGCTTGGATTTAATCAATAATAATATTAATTGAATTCATATAGTGATCTCAATAATTTAAAAAAGTATTATTCTTTTTTAAAGATAATATATTCGAATAATTATGTTAGCAGACTGTGTAAAATGTAGTATTATATATTTATGTATAATATGAACCGAAAAGTATAACTACGATATTTCGAGTATACTAAGTTACAGTTGAACAATTTTATCATCTCTCTAAATATCACTTGAAGCATTCTAATTTAATCCTCACAACAGTGATAGCTTAATTAATCAAAAAATTTCATCTGTCTCGTCAATTCAGACATCAAATATCGATTCATTTCTCAAGACTATATAAAATACGTAAATCAAATTATTGACATATGTATACAAATATCAATTATTCCTTTCTTCTCTATCGTACTAGACCAATCAATTAACACAATAAATGCAAATATTTACAATATAATTTTTATATATTAAATATGTTCCCTATCAAATAATTGGACAGACAGATGAACATAATTTATACATTACTCATACTTTATCAAGCCATTTAGAACTTAGAAGGTTTAAAAGACTTATTCAGAATTTATAGTAGTCTTCGTGATTAAGGGAAGTATTGTTCTTCCTAAAAGTCTTGAGCTTCAAGTAACTGCGTCCGCAATATGTGCGTGCATTGTCAATAATTAAAAAGATTCTAAACATACATTATCTTCAGTTAAATGCATATCTAGACACGAATATTAAAAATATAACCCTTCAAATACAATAAATTTCTTCTAAAAAATTGAATATACCCACATATCGACGTGAACCGTATGGTACAATCACTGGGAGTATTCACATCATTGATATACATGTGAAACCAAACACAAATGCAAAAACAACTGCCATTGAAGAAGCAATGTAGGCAATCTCAATCAGCCCAGATCAATGAAAATAGTACATATCATTCTATACGATATTAATAGAAATCTAATCTGTCAGAGGAGTTAAACGCATGCTCGCTACAGGGTAGGACGTTGTCTTCAAATCACTCTAACACATACGTAAAAAAATAACCTTTTCCAGCTGCAGCTGCACCCATAATATTGATACAAATGAAAGCTGTACAATACAATCGTATACCTTTACGAATCGAGTGTCTCTCTTCTTCTAATTCAAGGATGTTTTTGTGCACCAGGTGGTGCTGTTGGCCTTGGAAATTGAGCATCAGCGACGCTAGGGTCCTCCACATACTGGCTTTACAATGTAAAATTGTTTCAAGTCAGAAGAATATAAACAAACATAAAGCTAGACCATATCTCAGTTACGGAACAACTAATCATGAATGGTTAGTAGTGCAACAGAATGGAATCTGGAAAAAGGACCTGTAGCTGTCACATGGATAAAAAGAATTTATCATTCAGCTTAATAACCATACCTGTGGCTGTGACGTGAATGGAGAATGAGACAAGTCGTCCTTGGTTGGAGACTTTGTTGATGCATCTGGAGGATTGCCGTAATGACTTGGTTCAGTTCCATCCAATCTAGCATTACTGCTAAGCACAGGATCACTTTCATTTCCATTTGCTGGCTTGACCCTCTATATTCATACCATAGTATTTCCAAGAAAGGTCAGAACAATTAAAGAAGTGATAAGAAGGTGGGAAAGATGGAAAAGAGAGAAAAGAGAGAAAGCATGAGAAAAATCACACATACATACCTCAAAGATTTTACCAAGAGTTTTCAACCCTTTTGCTTGTGCTCGAAGCTCTTCCCTCTTGCAAGTATTATCTTGGAGAACCTAAAAAACAAGGATTTAATAGATTACAGGAAAAATACAACTATTGAAACCATTATCATCTAACAGCCATAAAAGAAGAGATTGATGAAACAACCATTTCACAAACATGAGAAATAGTAGCTTCTATGTCGGCTACATTAAGCTTCCATAATGAATCAATCATCAGCTTCTTGTGAGATTGCATATACTCCTCGAGCTCCTGCTCACTGTAATTTCTTTCTGCGCTTAGCTGCTTCTTCATGTCCTCCTGCAGCTGAAGCAAAGCAATTGCACCTACACCAACAAGGGAAAAAAATAATTCAATGGAACAATTCTTCCTGAAAAATATCTTCTTTCTAAGAAACACTAACAGCACAGTTGATTTATCCTTGGTAAGTATTGAATGAATGATCCAACCTTTTAGTTACCAGGAAAGTCAATTGAATTAACAACAAATCATAATTATCGTGTACAAAGTACAAACGATTGAAGTTTGCAGCATTTACTAACCTGTTGCAGCAGTTACTTGGGATTTAATAAAATGACCTTTAACCCTAAACCACTCAGCGACAAATGGCACACCCAAGTATATCGCTTTCTGTTATGATCGAAGTTGGGAGAGAAACGGAAATGGGGACAAATCAAGGGTTAGGGATTTATGGACAGAAATTGGAAAAAATGAGAATTGGGAAAGTGGAGTTAAATTACCAAAGGAAAAACGACGACGTTGGGCATTTGGTGAAGATAGGAATCTAGTTGAGAAGAAAGCAAATGACCCAAAGGTGGAGATCCATTCAGAGAAGCCCATAAGCAGAATTATACCGGGCAGTAGTTGATGATTAGGTTGTTGCACTAGCAGACAATTTAGGACAGCTGTGTAAAAATAATAGGCTTTGTCCCATTAGTAGATTATATAGGCTAGGAATTGTAATGCACAAATCATGGAAGTTTATGAATGAAATCTTATCTCTTCTTCTTCAATATTTCCTCTGCTTCGTTAATCTTTTCTATTCTACTTCTTTTCTTCGATCTCAACTTCTCTATTTCTCAAGGGACATAACAAATTGGTATCAAGAGCCATTATTCCTGGCATTCTAAAGCTTGGGTATGTCAAAGAAGAACCAAACGATGGGTGATTCCACTGATTTGTCTGCAATACAAAAACAGATTGATTACTTGACAAAGCTGGTAAAGCAAACAACCGATGAGTCCACCCCTCCTAAATGGTGGCAGAAGCAGGACAATAGGTTGAGTATGATGGAATTCAAAATGGCGTTGCAGCAGAGAGATGTGGAGCACATTTTACATATTCTGACTGGTAAAAAGTGTGAGCAAAAACATGATGATTCGCAGGTGTTCGATAAATTGCCAACACCAAAGGTAAAGAATATTGGAGACCAAACAGATCAAAGTTACGAGGGATTTGATTTTCAAAGTGATGAAACAGTGAGTCTAGGTTCTTTCAATGTCATTGAGACTATAAAGAACCATGTTGAAGATGACACATGTTCCGTATTTGGTAAAAGGCTTGTACAATTGGAGGAAGTGATAGATGGTGAAAATAGAAGTGATGATGGTGCGGTGAACGTGGATGTCAAGCTGCAAACTCGGTTTGTAGGGGACCAAAATGCGGCAACCTTCAATTTCTTTAAAATACCATGTTCATTATCTCTGTCAAAACCGTCCCCGGGGTTTGCACCACCAAGTTTCTTTGAAAATCACAAAGCTTCATTCCAGCATCAAGGACAGGAAGGTGCAGGTATGATGATGATGCATAAATATAATTATCAACTAATTACTAGTGTTTTGGTCGAGGGGTGTAAATTTGGCTCGATCAAGATTATGTTTGTTGATGGGTGTAAGTTCAATTCTGTCAAGGTTGGGAGGGATAAACTTGTAGAAGATGATGACCCTTACAAGTTTAGATTATTGCTAATGGGAATCAATCTTAAAGATGCGCGAGTAGATGTCGAGGAACATGGGGTTGACAGCTCGGTCGCAACTTACACTCAAATTCAGTCAACAATTTCCTACAGTGCATTGGATGGCGGATGGAGGGTGGACCACTATGAAACTCGAACAGCAGCAAAACAATTAGACGAATCTCCTTCAACGATAAATGTGAATCAATTTCTACAGTGCCAAAAATCTATTCCTAACATCGAAAGCTGCTCAATCAAATGTCTTATAGCTGGAGTAAATGAAGGTTTGGTGTATGTCGGAAACATAGAGAACATGCAAGGAAATATGGTAAACAGCAGGAAGGCTGCGAATGTTGTGTGGCTAGGAGTCGAGTTGTATCATAGATGGCTAAATGTTGACCTTTGGAAATTATCTCTCCAAGGAAAAAACACAAATGAAATACAAGAAATACTTACTGA